AAAATTAATAAAATATAATTATAGGAAATGTAAAAAAAAAAAAAAAAGTGGTTAGTCCAGCAAGTAATAATAAATACCACTTACTGAGCATTTGTTCTTTTTCTTTACATAAAGATACCTGCATTTTTATTTTTATATTCACAAAGACTCTTAATATTCTAATTTTATGGATAAAGTAATTGAAATCCAGAGAGGTTAAATGATTTTTAAGTCCAACTCCCATTTTCACTCATTCCAAACCAAAGAGTCTTAACCTGGTTCCTAGAAATGCAAACAGTGAAAGGATGGTGTGACAGCTAGAAGAATAATCTTGGTTTTTCAGTCAGTCCCATTCAATGGGCTGGGACTTTGGAGATGTCTAGGAGTCTTGAGTTAGAGGCTATTGTTTGAGGATCAGGACGTCCCTTGAAATGGGTAAGAGCAGGGAAGGAGGACTCTAAGCTTAGCTGGAAGTCCTTCTCAAGGGAGGAGCCCAGGGGACCTGCCTGGCTCTCACTATAAAGGTGACTAATCACTTCTGTCCCCTCTGGTAATTGCAACCAGATGCTGCTGTTGGCAATGCCTCAGTCCCGACATGTTTAATTACTAGGATACAGAGTCCCTGGGTCCCCTGAGTCTCCCTTGCCTCCCCCTCTGCTGTCAGCAATATTAATGTCAAACTTGAGACAGAGGATGGGAGCTTTGGGAAGCCACTGGCATGGAAATAATCTATACAGTCCCTTCCACAATGCAGAGCCTTTAACTTTTATAAACATTTTCCCCATTTTACTGGAATCCCACAAAAATCTTTATAAAACCTCTAGTCCAGAGTTTTTATTATCACATTTCACAGATGGACAAAGAGTGAACTGAATCATGATAATTTTTTGCTGTTTTCAAGTTCTTCAGAGTTTTCAAACTAGCTTCACATTCATTATCCTATCTGAACGTCCTGAGATAAGACCTCTCTCTCTCTCTCTCTCTCTCTCTCTCTCTTGCGTGCTCTCTGCCAGTCAGTACAAGCAGCAGTAAGTGCATGAACTTCAGGGACAAACAGTTCACTTTGTGTCCTGATTCTACCACTTATCAATTGGATGATCTTAAATTTTCACTCATTTATTTACTTAATTGTTGTTGTTAAGTGCCAGTCAAGTGCAGGCGACTGGACCCTACTAAGGAGAGTCCTCCTTTCATCCTCTCTCCAGATTTACTTAATTACTAAGTAAATATTTATTGT